TATTTATTATTAAAATCTCAATTGTACATTAGTTAATTTTTCCTTAATTGTAGATTAGTTAATTATTCCTTGTCAATTTTTGCTTTATGTATCTTGAAGATTTGGTGTTAGATGAATTTAAGATTGGAATTATAAGCCTTCTGAAAAATTGATTAGGATCAATATGTACTGATCCTCCTTATCTCCAGTAATGCTTTTTGCCTTGAGGTCTATTTTTTTCTGATATTAATATAGCTATATCAGCTGCCTTTTGATTAGTGTTTGCCTCATTATTTTTCGTCGTTTCAATTTTACTGAGTCCTTCTATTATATTAATAGATGTATTTGTTATAAACATGTAGCTAGAATTTTTCATTTTCCTCTTCTTTCTTGCCTTCACTGGGATTGATCGAATTTGTTTATTATATGTCTGAAGTTAATCAGTATCTTTACCTTCCTGCAAATCAAATGAAGGCCCTTAGAGATTTTTAATACCTACCCTTCCTCCATAACTAAATACATTCTCCATTCACAATGTTTTAAAACCCTTCCTCTTCAACATTCTTGTTACTGTTTTATCCCGTTATTGATTATTTATGATTTTCTTTGCTTGCAATCTCTTCTTATAACTCAGTCTTCCTTCTGGGATCAATTTCCTTCTCCTTAACACATTAACTGCTATGTGAGTTGTATTTAACTCATGCTAGTGTTGAGCCCAGGGCCTCGTGGAGCATATATAATTCACACATTTCTTCACCTTTGGAGCCACGTGAACTGTTTTCCAAGTTGCATATAACTCATGCACAGAAAACAATAAACAATAACAAATCTTTCATTAAATTAGAAAGTATCATTTTGTTTTCAAAGTTTTTATTCCATTTTCTTAATAAAACACCATGGTCCCAAGGAAAAAAATTTTTTTTCTAGTACGTCAATGTGTTAAAGTACTTCCCATTGGCATTCCTATAGCCACATTCTCTTAATAGTGAACTTACCTTTTTTTGTCTGAAACTATCTTTAACTTTTGCTTTCATTCTTGAAAGATGGTTTTGCTATATATGGAATTCTATGATAGTCATTTTTGTTCTCTCAGCTTTTTGAAGCTATTATTCAGTGAATTTTAGCTTCTGTTATTGCTGTACCTAAGTCAGATATTAGTTTAATTATTTCTTTGATGTACTCTGTCTTACTGGATATTTTTAAGATATTTTCTTTGGCATTGTTTTTCATGTTTCTTTTGGAGTCTTGTTTCTTTTGTTTAAGGATTGTGGAAATTTGTTAGCTCTTAAAGCTCCTAATACTGAATTTCTTTAATCTCTCTTTTTTTTCTTCAAAAATCTGATTCTACTTACAGTAGATGGTCGCATTTTATTGTGCATGATTCAATACCACTCTTTCTTATTTGGTGTCTCACTGTCTCTGAGCTGCATTCTCAGTAATTTGTTTAGCTCTGTGTTCCAGTTCTCTAATAATCTTTTCATCTATGCCTAATCTGATTAACCTTTTTATTGAGGTCCTAATTTCAATGATCTTTTCTTCTTTTTTTTAAGTTTTATTATTTGGTTCTTTTTCAAATTTGCTGGTCAGTTTTGATAGTCTCCTGTTCCTTTGTCATATTTTGGTTTCCTATTATATTTTCTTATACAAAATAAACATAATTCTTAGCATTTATATCTGAGTCTAATATTTGTGGTCTTTGTGGGTCTGCAATTTATTATTTGCATTCAGTATACTTGGAAAGCTCATGTACCTTGGAACTTTATCTCTCAGAATTCTTTGAGACCTGTGTTAAAAATAAATTTCTTCAAAAAAGATTTACTTAGCTTATGGCAAGTGCATGGGGCTACACCAACCTAAGATTTCTTTAACCTAAACTTTAGACTTATAGGATTTTGATCCCCATAAGAAGGGTGAATTCTGGACCTCAAAGCCTTGTGAGGTCAGTTTGGTTTCATGCTTCAAAAAAATAAACAACATTACTAACTTCACTAATGTTTATTTTTTTAACTTATATACTGAGAGAAGTTCTAATCCATGTATTAGTTCCCAATATTACTCAAAACAAAATCTCCCATTGCTGTTTAATAATTTTTTTTCCTCCCTTAACTCTGACCTGACCTTTGAACTATACTCATAAGATAAAAAAGCATTTTCCCCATTAGAGACTATTTTAGCTTTTTACTTAAATATATTCATAAATGAACAAAGTTTTATTAGACTCTGAAGATATTCTTTTATTTAGATAAAGTAGTAAATAAAAATAAATATCTACTCTCAGTATGCAACCATTTGTTTGGTATAGTAATACCTAAAATTTTCTTGGTAAAGTGGAGGAAAGGAGTATTTTATTGCAATAAGACCTTATATACCATTTAGAAGTTCCATGCTTTACTATTTATTTGGTATCATTTATGTCTGTTTTATAAAAATGTACTCAGATTACTTCTTAGGAAATATTTAATGTTCTGTTTCATAACTAGTGTGTTTTTAAACTTTACAGGTAAAAGTATTCTATTTTGACTATTAATATGATTTCTGTATAATGGTATCAAAGGTTATAAGGGCTTCTGATAATATATGCCATAGCTGTTATAACGAATTATTGTTTTAATATTT